CTACTACTACTACTACTACTACTACTACTACTACACACGTTCACATCCAATACGAATATATGCTAAATATGCGCTGTTACATATTTACTCAGTTTACTACAATCACAGTTGTAGACGTAGTAAATAGAACTTACATATATTGTGCACACCGTCCCATTGTAGAATGCTGAGCGCTTCGCTAGAGTGCAACAGCCAGGAAATGTATTTTATCCATCGAACGTACACCGGCAACGATCTGAAATGTGAGCCAAAGTGAGATGTGATTCTCTACTTTTTCTCATCCCCCCGCTTAAAACGTAAAATTATATCGCTAGATATATATATATATATATATATATATATAATCTAGAATCTAGAATCTAGTATCTGGAATTACGTAATTTTCACAATTTCAAGTTTACCCTAGTTTGAGGAAAGGACCCATGGTAATCATGAGAATATAGTCGAATGGTATGAGGTACGCCATGGCCAACGGCACGCTTTCGAACGCCGTGGAGAAGAAACATCCTGAAACGTACCGCTGCTTCAAACTCTCAAACTCAAAAGTTACTCAAAATTCACTCTACTACTTTACTGATATCAAGCTGTTTTACCGCAGGCAGTCGACACGTTTATAGTTAGCAGAAGTACAAGCAACGTGAGTCCAAAAGTTTCCGCGTCATCTCGCAATCCAGCCAGCCAATACACGATCGTTGCGAATAATATCGGCTCTATGATCAGACCAGGTATCTGACGATGCGTTTTTATATTCAGTTGGATCCTTGGATTCGTTCCTTGAGAGCGTTGACAGTCAACGAAGAAAAGAGAAGAGAAGAGAAGAGAAGAGAAGAGAAGAGAAGAAAAGTGTTTTACTTGCCAGAGAGAGTATACGCGCAGTGTAATACAAATGGACCGGATACATTCCAGCTCGGTACTCTCTCCGAAGAAGCGGCAACTCCTGCGGTATCAAGGCCAACGTGGCGTACATTGGGAAAAATGCGTTCTCAGAGACCAAGATGAAGAGGACACCTTGCGTCGCTTGAATTCCAAGTTGGTCGAAATTTACAGCACCCACGAAACACAAACCGGCGACTGCTGCGACACTCTGTTCAATTTCTTATTATCTATCTATCTATCGGTCTATCTGTCTCAGCGTTTAATTAATTGTTAACGTTAACAAGCATTACAACAATAATGTTACAACTTACGTTACCGTATCGAACAGATTCGATACGGTACGCGATATCAAGCTTCATCGCCGTCGCATTCGCACGCTGATGAAAAACTTACTCACCACTTTTTGAAGTATTCGAATTATTTGTATCGACGGATCTCTCGCAACTTGCAAGAAATCTCGATAAATCAACCAGTAGAGTCGTGAACAGTATCGTGCTTCTTTCGTTCTGTGTGAAATGGTCCCGGTGTAACGTATGCAACGTGTATACTTGTATATACATGATACATCCATACGTACGTACGTATTTCCTATTCAAATGGATACTAAAAATCGAGCATCGATCGAGCGATCGAGTGAATTAAAATTTAAAAAATGCTTCAAATTCCAAGAGTGGATATGGTTAACAGATGGAGTGGATCGCTTCATCTGTCGTCCGAACGGACGATTTGGCTCAAATTAATGCCAACATCGTATACGTACGGTATAAATATATCATGGCTGTTGGTGAAACGAGCCGAGTGGCGGTTTAAGTTAAGTTACTTTGAAAGAAATTTTTTCAAATACTCACGCGATCAATTTAGCGTCAAAGGGTAATTTCGATCTGTGCTGAAACGAAAGGGACGATTATTTTCGTCGAGTATTATTGTATCACGTACAGTACCGCGTACTCTATACGCAAAGGTTGCGAACAACAAACTGCCAGGGGAAAGGGAAATCGCTTACACGCACCGATTCTATCTGTTTCTCTGAAACGCGGTGATCGATCTCGTTGCAAATTTCACTAGTTGAGAAAACATCGCACATCTTGCGAGCTACTTGTTCGCCATTCTCGTTCTTCGAGCCTGTGGCGACAATCGCCACTAAAAAGTCTGCGGGATTGTATTTTCCTGGACACTCGTATCCTTGACTGCAAAACAATTCAATTGCCGTTAATGGGAAAGTTTATACATGCATACATACATACATACATACATA